TGAAATACTTCGCTTTCTGGATTGTCAGAATTCGTGGACTGGAGCATTTTTGCTCCCAATGTGTTGACCAGTTCATTCTGTATAGCTGGCGACAAATATGACAAAGAATTGGTTTTTGGAGAAACTGAACCCAAGTGTTCTCTCATGACTGGATCAAGTTTTACCAAGAATTTCATCAATGCCAGAACATTTCCAGATTTTCATCCTTGTCTAGGTGACGTAAATATAGGAACGTAAATTCTACGTAAACGTAATGTCATTTTCATTTTCATTTTAGTGTTCATTTTCAATCGCAATAAATTTACATTGTTTGCAAAACATTGATATCTTGTTTACGTAAACATGCTGCTTGGGTGAATGACTCAATCACTGAATGACGGGCGGAAAGTAATAAATATTTCTGAATTTCGTCACGCTGGTGTTCACTGCTGCAAGCTGTGAGCCTGTGGCATAAATCGTTACTAGAGTACTGGATGTATTGATTTTCAACTCCGCCTTTCTTCACAGTAGAGTTAGGATTCGTGTTGGAACTTGACTGAGTAAAATGACTCGTGACTGCCGTCTCTCAGCATATGTCGCTGGCAGAGTGATTTAGACGTTTAACATCAGTCATAACTCGCTCGCAAAGGAAGTGATTAGAGCCCCAGCACTACTAACCGACCTACCAGCAGGCGCCATACCAGAGACATAAGAATATAATTGAAATATAATTGCCCCCCAGAAATGGGTGGCAATTATTACCCCAGAAATGCTATTTGCGTCAGTATTGCCACCCTCTGAACTGAGGGCGACAAACGAGAAAAAATTGCAAAATCGTCAAAATGGTCATTTTGCCAGTGGGCGGCAAAATGGCCAAAAGGGAAAAAAATTCCGAAATTTTGCTTCTTTCAAATAAAATTTTTTTAAAGGCTATTTTGCTGCCCTCTGGACTGTGGCACCGGGGCGACCGCCCACTTGCCCCCCCCCCCCGCCCTAGTTACGCCACTGCTCTCAGCTCAGGTTCGAATTCCAAAAGTAGGTTCGCTTCGGACGCCCTCCACACTTGACGGTCAAAGCGCTCTACTTCGTTCCAGACGCACACTAAAAGATCATTTTCGGGGTTTCCATCTCATATTTTCTTAGCATCCTGGGCTTTAACCTAGGAGTGTTGCGAGAGTCTCATTTTTCGGAGAGCCAAGAAATCCTATGAAGACCTGTTCTCAATCGGACTGAGTGTGGAAGGAGAACAGATGCAAATGGAGCATAGTGAGGGATGTATAGCCAGGAATTCGCAAAAGGGGAGGAGCTAAGCGGAACGGTGGGGGCAATTACATATCCTCGTCGGGAAAGCGGCCCTTTGGCACGAACACGAATGGGAATGATCTCTAAAAACAGGAGCATACTTTTCGCGATACAATGTTCCTTCGGCGAATAAGCCAGGGAAGAAGCGAATTCGCGAAACTCGAAAGTTCACAAATGGCGCCACGGCGTCTCGGGAAGCAGAGAGACGAGCAGGTTTTTCGGCATATCATTTATCTTCTTCTGTGGCGAGGAGAACGACGCAAATATGACGTTTCTGCAACGAAGGGTTGGGGAGATACATTTTTTTCCAAGAGAGGCATGTAAATCACGACCTTTGACCATTCGCCACAGCCAGGTGCTTGACCTGAGAGTGCCAAAAAGTCACTCCAAAGCCCTCCCTCCCTCCCTTTACAAGGAAGTGCGTTGGGAGAATCTGAACTATCTGAAGAACTTCAAAGATGGGAGTGAGATTTATATGTGCTCTATTCAAGTCTCATGGAAAATCTTGTTGAATCATCCCTTTTCGTTCAAACATTTTTATGTGACAGATAATGAACACATCCTTGAATTCGAATCTTTCAATACCAACAATTGCAAGGCGAAGGTGATCATTAGAACTGGTTTAAAGAATGAATATGATCACGCCAAAAAATTGGGTACTAGCAAGATGGATGAAAACAAACGTGTTCGCATGGAACACGTTCTTGGCGATTCCGAGCATGTGGCAAACTATGTGTTCCATGGGCACTGGTTTAGCAATCAAGTTTTATACGGCGGCTTCAGAATAAAAGCGCGTTTCTGATGGGATGGTATCCCAACTACCATGATAAATACATTTCCAGCAGATATTCGGCCGCATACGTTCAATGAGGATGCCTCTACAATGTATTCATTTATTGATGGCCATTTCCACGCCACGGGTTTTGTTTACTGTCTGGATGCGGATTTCAGGGAGGAAAATTACAATATATTGGTCGTTGGACCGACTGGGTCAGGCAAGTCGCACATATTCAACGTCCTGTTCAATCAGAAAGTCTGTGACTCCTTTATGAGTTGCAATAGTGCCACATTTGACACATACTTCATCCGCGGTAAAGGCTTTGGCCCGAATGGACAAGTCTCATTTAGTTAACGGTCCTTTAAGGAGAAAACAGACCGTTTGTTAAAAGCCTCTTTATCTTGGAATGCGCAAACCTCGTCGGGCTGCGTGACACAGAATGACAGGATGAAAATATGATTTTAAACTTCATAGAAAGTCGCACAAGGAACAGCTTCAAATACCTTCATGCGGTCTTAGTCGTGTTCCGCATTGGACGTTTGCTGGAGCATCATATGCAAAACAAAATATATCCTTCGCTGGCTCGAGTATAATCAAATAAATAATTATGAACGAATTTGGTTCATTGGAACTCACGCAGAACACCTCCTTGAAAATGAGAAGACATTGCTACAAGAACAAGCTGCTGAGATCTTGGGTATACGTGGCACAAAAAAAGAGAGAGAAAGTCATGTCCAGTCATTGATCTTTGCAGGTTTTCCACCCGAAAATGCGCTTAACGACTGCATCAGAAAACTTGGCCAGAATTGCTGTTTGAACCTTAAGAAACTCCTTCAAGTTCCAAGAAATACAAAACACATTGAATTGCTCTCTGAGCCGCTTCCGTCAGAAGAACCGAAAGTCACTGGAGCTTGAGAAACTCTTCTAGTTACTGCACATCCCCTAGTTCCTCATGCTCCTTCAACTGCACTCTTAGAAAAAGGGGAGAGATTTTTCTCAAAAAAGAGAGTAAAATAGGTAACCCCAGTCTCACCCCCCCTTTCACTCTGGGAAATGAGCAAATTTACTCCATCACCAAGGAGTAAAATTGCTCTCCTCCTCCGTGAGTCAAAACGCTCCCATCAGAAAGCGATAGGGATGTCAAGCATATACGAAAATTTACATATACGTGGTATACTGTGTGTCGCTTTCGCTCTCATACAGACGTTGACCTACCTCTGACTGTACTGATTGCAGCACAGTTCACAGGGAGGACCACCTCTTATTAGCTCCGTGGAGTGTCCTGGATATCATTCCCTTATTACCTCAATTAATTGAGATATATGATTGATTGAAGTTCACAGACACTCTCTGTATATTCTAAATCTCCCATGCCGATAAAATCATACACGTTCCCAAATGGTTTCCTATAGGAATTTGAGCTTCTTTATAGCCTGGATTCTATGAATATGTCTTGAATATGTGGATAACCAATGATGAAGTGTCCGTGTTTATTCCTATAATGAGACTAGGCGAGACGTTTGACAAGGGATTAAAAAATCCTGCGAAGGATGATTCCAGGGAAAGAGGGAAGGGAACTTTTGTGCAAATTTTGAAAGTAGTTTTATCAAAGAGTGCATGCAATTTTCGATATGTTTAGACCTGTTCATTGATCCAGTTCTCAGTGGAATTCGGGATACATAGATTTCATATAGTCATATTCTTGGGATTCTTCAACGCACGTCCCTGAAACTAATATGGGCCTTATGACATAATGTGACCTAATACTGACACTAATATGGCGTAATATGTGCCACCTAAGTGTATTTTCCTAATGGTAGCATGGATACAAAAACCATTTCTTCAAAGTTATGCTATGGTTCCTCATGAATGCTTGTGGAAAGTGCTATTCCCTTCACCTGCGGAAAACATTGATTGTTGTCAAATTTGTCATGCAAGCCAATATGGGGTAATATGGCCACCCCGACTTGGGGTAAAATGGACACATCCTTGATTCCATGGTAGCACCGCACTGGGCTACTGGTAGTGTCAGATTCCTTTCACATGGGACCTCAGGCAGCAAAAGACAAAAGGGCAATTTCGGTGACTCATGTTACACGAGATAATCTACTCATTTTCAAGACGTCGCAAAAGATAATTTTGCATCGGTAACTGAGGGTGAGATTGTTTCTTTGACGGAACGCATCATATGCCACACACCCTCAGTTTTCAGCTCTTGTGTAAGTAGCATCTTCAATCATCAAAAACAGTGTATTCTATGTAAAGTAGAGAAATGGCCACATTGCCTTCAATTCGGAAAGTTGCATGGTATCGCAGCGAAGATGATGAAAACACTGAATTCTTGATCTCTAGGATGTACTCTTGTTGCGACATCCAATGTTTGATTCGTCATTCGCTTTGGAATTTTGATTCGTTCGTCCCATTTGCCATGGAATATCCCATATGTTATCCCTACAGTTCATGGCGTGTCGCGTGTGGCACAATCAGGTTTTGTCTTCCTTTGCATAGCATGGATGAAACCTAAGTGTATCTGCATAGGTTCGCAAGTGGAACATTCAATGTTATATGTAATATGTAGGGGAGTGATTTGTAGTGATTTGTTTCGTGAGGGAATTGCGATGAAGAGAATGGCGGTCGTATGAGAAGGTTGAAAAACTTTTTCTTCCTCTGATTGCTTGTTCTTCACATTGGATAGTCTGTGAAAATTGGAAATTGCTTTAGGTATGTGCCTACTACTTATTTATAGCTTTAGCCTACTTCGGTGCATTTCCATGTTCTGATTCCTTCATAAAAAATGCCTGGGACAAATCAGGCACATCATGCATTCAAACTCATCCGCATGGCTGATGCGACGTGTTACCCTGTGTTGCCCCAGTTGAGATATATTTAAGTGCTTACATGTGAGAAGGCATTTTTTATTCGTAAGCTTTTTTTTGGAATCATGAATGAGAACGCTATTTCGTTCAAGCTGGACGTACCAACATACATTGAGGATAATTCTGACGTCTCAGAAGATGACCTTAATGAATCATACGGTCCACAATGAGAAGCCGCTGAAACTTATTCAAGCGAGAAGAAATTTCTCCATTTGTGAGACCATCTTCGCCTCGTAAACCATTTGAAGCCAGTAGTGACGACACATTTGTGTTTTCAAGGAAGGTACATCCATGATCTCATAGAAATAACACCAACTTGTAGCAGGAACTCGTCATAGTATATCCCTTTCTCATTTCTGACAGTCTCATTCTCAGAAAAAAAAATATTAAAAAAACCTGGTTTCCAACACATTAATGAAGAAAGCCTTGTGCTCGGCATGTCAATACAATAAAAGGACAACCCGCGCATGAGGTCCTAGACTCGCTAACGCAATGACTTGTGAAAGAAGGGAAACATGCCACCACCCAAAAAGCAAATTTTCTGGCATCGAGACTATCCCTTAGAATCTTCTAGATCCAGGAACACACTACATATTTTTTAAATCCCTTTCAGGCTAAGTAAATCGCTTAAGGGCAAATTATACTTGTGTAATACCCAATGGAGTAAAAAAGCCTTTCTCCCCTTCATCTCTATGTTGCGATTAAATACGCCGCGCAGTAAATACGTTCCAGGAACACTGTTGTATTTTTAAGATCCCTTACATCAGGGAAATTCATTAGTAGCATTTGAAAGGCCATTCTTTAATGAGCGTTTGCAGTAATTATGAATTTTTCAAACATAAACGGGCATTTGGTATCAAAACACGCACTTGATCGAGGACAAACAATTTTAAGGATGGCTCTGTGAGAGGAAAGAAGTTAAAGAGATAATGGGCAAATTTGGCCTCAGGTAGGTCATTGGGGGTTGAAGGTTTATGACGCGCTTCATTATTGCCAGATGAAGGACATCTCATTTTAGTCAACTGAGAGAGATCCATTGGGATCACGCCTCCCCCAATTGAATGTGAAAAAGTCACAACTGATTTTCAAGGAAAATCCTCCATTAACCATGTCTCTGGAAGGGAGCAGAATTGATATTTAACATGTTGATGACCAGCCTATTTTTGCTTGTCCGCCGCGTGGGACCACGCGCATTTTTTTTGTCCAAGCGCTCACTAGGAACTGAGGAACGGATGGGTGAGAACCGGGTGAGAAACGGGCGGGGGAGAGGGGCACAGTGGGCTGGCATCAGGACGCATTGTCGCCAACGTGTTAACACGTTGGCGACCGAGTGGTGACCGAGGCTCCCCCTTGACATGTTACAGTGAAGCCACAAGTGTATCTTTTTAAGTTGAATAGAATATACTTGACTAGCCAATCCGTGGAAGACTTCCACGAACTTCAAGTCGGGCTTAAGCCGGAGGTGTCAAACAGCTGGCCGGCCCGCTAGTAAATTTCGTCCGGCAGGAAAATTGTTATTCAAGAATTTGTTTTGGAAAAGCATAGACAATTTCAACCCGTTAGCAATTGAAACTTTGTCGCAAAATTTGCTGATATGGATCCAACCACTGGGATTATCGCATGTCTTTGATAAACGGCTACTACTAGCATTACGAAGAAACCAGCATGAAATATTCTTGGCTGCAGGAAAGAGTACATCACAGCCCACTGTGCCCCTCTCCCCCGCCCGTTTCTCACCCGGTTCTCACCCATCCGTTCCTCAGTTCCTAGTGAGCGCGACTTCCGTCTCGGATTGGCCCCGCCTCTCGTGGAGGGGCTTGCTCCTGGACACTTCTCGTCTTTTCCTGCCCAAGACGACCATATTCGAGACGCTGGACCTGATGGCGATGCACAAGCTCAACGTCTTTCACAGGCACATCGTCGACGACCACTCTTTCTCCTACGAATCCGCCCGATTTCCCTTCCTGAGGTCCTTGCTAAATCCATCAGCGCGTAATTCAAAATTTGCATTTATAAAAAACTAAATTTGCATTTGTATTCCAGAAAGAACGGCTCGTATCCGGATTGAGTCTACAGGAGGAAGGACGTCAAGGAAATTTTGGAATATGCAAGATTGCGGGGAATCAGAGTTGTGCCAGAATTCAACACGCCTGGTCAGTAATACCTTCCAATACCCTAACGAAAATAAATTCTGTTCACAACTGCAGCGAAGAAAGTATCCAAACTTTTTTCCGAGTATGTTCACCATTATGAAAAGAATTGTGAACCATTATATTTAGGGATGAAACGAGAATTAAAAAAGGGAGATTGAGTCTCTCGTTTCTTCTCTCCATCAGGCTATACGCAGTCTTGGGGAAAGGCCATGCCGGGATTGCTCACTGCCTGCCAGGGAGCGAGCTTATGGAAGATGTTCTTGGACCTGCCGGAGTACGGACCCATCGACCCCAGCCGCGAGGAGAACAACGCCTTCCTCCGGAAGTTTTTTTGGGAGGTCCAAGAAACCTTCCATGACCGGTTTCTGCATCGCGGGGGTGACGAAGTGGATTTCCTCTGCTGGTGAGTGGAGGGATGTGCATGGAGATTCAAGGATAAGGCGATCACACGAAAACCGAAATTCGTCGAATAGTGTAGCAATATGATGTGTCGTCCTGGACTTCCTGATCGGCACTCCCGCGTATCCGGGAAGAGAGGAGTTTCGTCAAAAATTTTCAAGTCACTCGAAAACGTCGTAGGGGTTCAAAAAGCCAAGAATGCTTCCATTCGAACCTCTTTCCTTGGAGATGATGGAGCGTTTGGCCTTTTTTTCGTGACTTCGTGACATTCATAATTCCGTGCCCTCTTTCCCTTAAGGAAAATAAATGGCGATATTGGATTTCATGGCGCGGCAGAACATCTCGAGCTTCGAGGGTCTGCAGGCCTACTACATGAACCGACTCGTCAAGCTCCTCGATGACGTCTCGTCCGAGAAGAAAAATTTATTAGTGTGGCAGGACGTTTTCGACAACGGAGTTCGGTTGGGTCCCGACGCCGTCGTTCACGTCTGGAAGGGAGACTAGGAGACGAAATTGGCAACGGTGAGAGGGAGGAATTGTCAGGTTTCGACAGATATGTGTTTTTGCAGCTTTTGGAGTCTGTAAATGCTTTTCTTACGCCTCTGGGAGATATTTCCTTCACGCGGGAAAAAAAGTGAAGAAAAAATTCATTCACAATCAAAATAAAGGAAAGCATTGATTTTCTTTCTTTGATTTCAGGTGACAAACGCTGGGAATGCAGCACTGCTTTCGTCTTGCTGGTACCTGGACTACATCTCCTACGGGACACGGACTGGGAGAACTACTATAAGTGCGACCCGGAGAACTTCCCAGGCAACACTGCCCAGAAGATGCTCGTCCTCGGCGGAGAAGTCTGCCTGTGGGGTGAATTCCCGGACAAGACTAACCTCCTTTCTCGACTGTGGCCGCGAGGATCGGCTGCAGCGGAACGGCTGTGGTCCCCGAGGGAGGCGCAAGACGCGGACTTCTTCGCTTCCAGGATGAACGAGCACCGGTGCCGTCTCCGTCGTCGAGGCTTCCCGGCTCAGCCCATCAACGGCCCTTATTCTTGCGATCATCTCAGTATACCTTAAATCGGCACCGGCTGGCTTCCAAGCTCTAACTTCAACAAATTGTTGGAGATGCTGTTTTTGGAGGAAGAAATCTTTCCTGTACGAATCAATTTGTGGTACTAACTTATGTCTTTCTGCTAAACGTTGATGTATAATTATGAATTATAGAATAAATTAATAACGAATCTTCATGAAAGTCCCTTTAAGTGGAGAAGACCGCCTACGCAATAAATAATATATTGCTAGATGAACCATAATATCACTCTACTTGTCTATGGTGCTGATGGTATTTATAAACAATTACATGGTATAGTACTCGTAGGACTTGGTGCAGGTCATTAGAATTTTGATTCAATCGTCAGTCTCCAAAAGCCTTTAATGCATATTGCAATTTGTATGCACGATAATGGGGCACTTCCATTTCCTGGAGCATCACTGAACCTTCCATGCATTCTCTATACAGTGAAAACTAGTTAAATCGAACTTTAAGGACCGGTAAAATCTTTTCGAGTTATCCGAAGTTCGAGTTATCAGGAATTACCCCCCCCCCCCAAAAAAAAAATAATAATAATAATAATAATAAAAGATAAAAAATTTCACGTTCAGGGACATAACCAGAGGGCGATTTTCAGCCCTCAAAAGTCCGATTTCACGTAGCGACTACCTTCCCATTATAATAGGCTTTCATTTATCACAAATGAAACTTTAATAACCCACATGCAAAATTCATTTATTGCAATGCCTTTCACCTGGGCCTCTCATGGTTTTATCCTTTTCTGACATGTAATCAGTGATCATTTGCTTTGTAAAAGAACTTGCAATAGAGAAGTGGATGTCCTCCAATTCCCCTACTGCCTCGAAAAAGTCGACTGGCACCTCCCCTCGCGAGAGGAGGAATTTTCTCCCAATCGCCAGTGCATCATTGGCATCGCTCAAAGACGGCGGTAGAGCAATGTACGTTGCCTCCTGCTCTCCATCACTCTCATCCCCGGGCTCGCTCTCTTGTGAGCGATCTTTGATGTCGGCAATGATGGATGCCTCAGTGACTGGCTCAGTAACAATGAGGTCATCATCGCAATAAACAAAGTCGTTGAATGACACATCATAGTTCATGATATGACCCACAGCACTCCAAGAATGCGGATCACAAGAGATTTCCATCTCCTCGACTTCCTCATGAACATCACTTCTGTGCACAAATCCTGCTTTTCTAAAGCAGTTTGCAACAGTGGACGACCGTACGTCTTTCCATGCCAAAAACATGTGAATTGCATCGAGTAGAGTCACACACACTTCTTTCTTTTCATCAATGGCGGAAATGATGGCTTGGATGAGTCGCTTCCTGTAGTGCACTTTGAGATTGGGAATCACTCCCATGTCCATAGGTTGAAGTTTGGAGGTCGTGCTTTGAGGGAGAAACGTAAAATTCACCGCTGTCAGACCTTGAACGTGTGGATGAGCAGGGCAGTTGTCAACAATCAACAGAATTTTCCTTTTCTGTTTCAGCATCTTAACTTCCAATTGCATCAGCCACTCAGTGAATATTGTTGACGTCATCCAAGCCTTCTTCGATGACTTGTAACGAACAGGCAGGGATTTCACATTCTTGAAACATCGTGGCTTTGCGGATTTTCCTATCACCAACAGTGGGAGTTTTCCGGACCCATCCATGTTTGCACCAACGAGGACTGTGATTCTGTCCTTGCTCTTTTTCCCACCAAAGCAAGGGTCATGGAGAAAAGTCATGATTTTGTCTGACATCAGCTTGAAAAATGAGCCCTTTTCATCAACATTAAACACATCTTCAGGCCTGTAGCAACCTAGAACATCCAAGAGTTCTCCCTCGATCCAACTTTCGCATTCCTTCTGTGGAAAATCTGCACTTTCACCACAAATTCGTCGCGACACGATGCCATGACGGTGCTTGAATCGTTCCAGCCAACCAACACTTGCCCTAAAATCAATTCCAAGTTCCTTTCCAAGTTGATCAGCTTTTTCTCTCATTAGTGTTCCGGACAAGGGAGTGGTGCTGCCACGAACTTCACGAAACCATCTCAGGAGAGCCGCTTCCACGTCCTCATGCTTGGCTGTCTTCATTTTCTTGCAACTTGCTGTAAATAGGCGCTTCTCATATGCAATCAAAACCTCATCTTTGCTGCGTATAATGGTAGAGAGTGTAGAGGGAGGAATCCCGAAATTCTCTGCGATGTCTTTCTTCTTCAGCTGGCCTTCTTTGACAGTCCGAATCAAGTGCACCTTCTCTTCGAGCGTCAGTCTTCAATTTCCTCTTGAGTGAACTCATTCCACACAAATGGAGTAAAGGAAGTAGAATATGACTAGAATGGCTCGGAGTGAGAGCGATAAATAGACAGAGCGAATATTGGAGGTTGCTTTTTTATAGCCGAAGCTTTTCGGTTTTAATCCTCAGGTTTAATCATCTCCACAGGCGTCTGCGTGGGAGGAGGGGGAAGCAGAAAAAAAAGAACAAAAGAACATCCTCCCGAACGGGTTTCTTGTCATTCATCCTACTCAAAAATCGAAAAGTCCCACGAGAAGAATTTTTCCCCCCTTCACACCTTGAATTCGAGTCAACAGTGAGAAAATCGTTATCGAGAGTGAAAATGTCATTCGAGATATCTGGAAATTCGAGAAAAGCGAATTCGAGTTAAACGGAGCATTTAACATGGTGTCCTACGGGGTCCTACCAAGCATTCAAGTTCGAGATGAGCGGAATTTCGACTTATCAGGATTCGAGTTAACGAGTTTTCAATGTATTTCGGACAATTCTATACCTCTCCTTTTTTCTGCCATAGAATTCAAGAGTTTCATGGATGAATCTCATGAAATAACAAGGAATGCACAACCGTCTGTTTCATATTTTAAGGAATGTGGTGCATTCCAATTGAAAGGAAATAAATTTGCTTAAATCATTCCTGAGAAATGATTGCACTAACAAACTAAGTGTTGTTTCGCCATCTATCGAGAATAATTCAAACTGACAGTTTCTAAACGATGGGACAGAGAGCGCACCATCCCAATAGCTCTCAGGTAAGGCACTATGATTGGCTGTGATGGGGCCATTTTTTGTCCGTGTTGAGTTGCATCCTGTTCCTGCAACATTTGAATTGAGATGTCAGAGTGTTCTGTCCCAAACTCCTGGTACAGGAGCAGAAATGGGCTCCGTTTCATCAAGTTTCCTTTAGATTCGGAAAGACGTGCTCGGTGGACATGGAATTGTAGGTGGGAAGATCCTGGCCATATAGGTCGTGGATTGCATTGAGCTCTCAAATGCTTTTTAGGTCTTTCCCAGGCTTTGTTCATCTTGTCCATTTCAGTTATTCCAAGATTTGTTTTCTTGGTGGCATTTGAATATTGAACGAGTTCATGTATTGGTTGTATACGAAGTTTGTAATTGTATTCGTAATACGAAGTTTCCGATCACCTAACCATGAAGGATAGGTCGTATGGAGGTTACAGTTGTCTCATATTGATTGTCATGGTCTGAAACCTTGCACCCAAATATACTGAGATAAATGATTGAACTTTAAAAGTTAATCAATTTTCCCCCGACGCTGCTTATTTGGTGCTCTCTCTTGCATTGGAACTTGAACCTTAACGACGCGCTCTAAATTTGATGATTAATTTTGTCTCTTTCACTGCTAATTGAAAATTTTCCATCTGGAAAAGACATCCGGAGTGGACCACACGTCGAATGGTATATGTGAAATATAAATCACAAGCTCTTGATGATTAGATTGCGTTGATGCAAATTTTAGCAGAGAACTATTAGAAAAGAAGCATTATTTTTAATGTGAAGATTGTGGGTTATAGGATAGGCAAGAATGAAATGGCGTGCGTGCACGTTCACCTTGGGGTAACCACGTTGAACAGAGTGAGAGAGTGCCCGTTTTCGTTGGAACAAAAAGCCTTGTGTGTTGATATGAAGGAGAACTGCAAGTCCCCTGTGGTGTAATGGTAAAACACTTGACTGGGAATCAGAAAGCCCGGTTTCCAAGTCCCAGCCGTTCCCTCGCTTTATCTCGACCTCTCCTGCAAGCCTCCTCCAGCCTTCGGTTCTCATGACATATTTCCTGTATTTCCCAAAGAAAGACTTCCTTCCGCTTCCATCCGAACCTCTTTCCTTGCAGTTCTTGGAGGGTTCGACATATTTTTTAGTGACTTTCATGCGAGTTGTATTGCATCGTCTCATTTTTCCTGAAATCAGAATCCATTCAAAATACTGCCATCTTGAAACGATTTTATGGTAATGAGCAGTGTGAAATCCTGTCGGAATTTCCATTACACGGTAATGAATGAGGGAAATGGAAGCCAAGTGCAGTGCACGAATTCGTTCATTATTCCGTTCCCCTATTTCCCTTAAAGAAAATGAATGGCGACAGACGGAATTTCATGACGCGACAAAAAATCTCCAGCTTCCAGGGCCTGCAGGCCTACTACATGAACCGGCTCGTCAAGCTCCTCCATGGCGTCTCATCCAAGAAGAAAAACTGCTTGGTGTGGCAGAACGTTTTCGACAACGGAGTTCGGTTGGGTCCCGACGCCGTCGTTCACGTCTGGAAGGGAGACTGGGAGACGGAATTGGCAACGGTCAGAGTGAAGGTTTGTCGGGTTTCTGCTGATCTGCTGCAGCGGATCGGCTGTGGTCCCCGAGGGAGGCGCAAGACGCGGACTTCTTCGCTTCCAGGATGAACGAGCACCGGTGCCGTCTCCTCCGTCGAGGCTTCCCGGCTCAGCCCATCAACTGCCCTGACTCCTGTGATCATCTGATAATACCTTAAATCGGCACCGACTGGCCTCTAAGCTCCTCGGTTTCAAGAACTATGTTGGAGATACTTTACGTGGAGGAAGAAATCCTTCCTGTAGGAACAAATTTATGGTAATGCATCTTCCCGCCCTAAACTGATGGATGTATATGGAATACTGAATAAATGCAATACGATTCTCCAGGAAAATTCCTTGTCAGTGAGAAAGGCCCCCAGAGCAATGAATAATCTATTGCTTGACAAATGAGATGCAAAAACGGTCTGCGCTTCTGCACAACAAACTTAACGTCTTTCATTCGCACATCGTCGACGACCACGTTTTCCCCTACTGATGCGGCAGATTAACTTTACTCCGGTCCTCGCAAAATCCATCAGCGCGTAATTCAAATTCCCCTAGAAATTTACAAATTCCTCCTCATGTCTTCCAATAAGAACGGGTCGTATGCGCCGGATAAGGTTTACAGGAGGAAGGACGTCAAGGTAATCGTGGAATATGCAAGATTACGGGGAATCGGAGTTGTGTCGGGATTCGACTCGCCTGGTCAGCAATATCTCGCTCTACCTCAATCAAAGCAACTTCCATTCATAACTACTGCAAAGAAAGCTTGCAGACAAACTCTTTACCGAGCGTGTTATTATGAACTTGCGTATAGTTCCGAAACAAGAATTAAAAAATGGAAGATGAGGCTTTCCTTGGCTTTCTCCATCAAGCCACACACAGTTGTGGGGAAGGGCCATGCTGGGATTGCTCACCACCTGCCGGAGAGCGAGCATCTGGAACGCGTTCTTGGACCTGCCCGAGTACGGGCCCATCGACCCCAGCCGCGAGGAGAACAACGCCTTCCTCCGGAAGTTCTTCGGGGAGTTCCATGCCACGTTCCCGGACGGGTTTCTGCATCTCGGGGTAACGAAGTGGATTTCCTCTGCTGGTGAGTATCGGCGTGTCGCCTTACTGGATTCCCAATGTTTCTTACTAATCGAATGGTTTCATTTAATGAATGAGCCGCTTGTGATGGAAGGAAATGAATATACGAGGATCCATAAAAAGTTCCAGGACGGGCTCTCGTCATTTCAAACGGCAATAGCACAGGGCTTTTTGGCTGCTACCAAAAGAAAAAGGCGACGTTGAGGAACGAGCTTAACAAGCTCGACGAGAAATCCCCTTGCCTTAGCGAACATTTCTCCAAAGCATACACTGCATTGGACCCTTGACATTTGCTACGAAGTCATAGCTAGAGCCACGTGCGATTATCAAACCCTGCGTAAAGTCTGGCAAAACCGCCAATATCAATTTGATAGGAGGTAGTCGACTTCCCACGTCCCGTGGGAGGTCGATGCACACTGTTTGCTTGTGTGCCTTAAGCATTGTCCACCACGAATCAGTTCCTCGGAGAGAAACACGTTAGGAAATTCATCAATCGTGGAATGTGACAGCTACTACACTCTCCCTACTCTCAAGACCTCGCTCCGAGTGATTATGTGTTCCTCCTGTAGACGAAGAGTGTCCCGAATGACCGCCGTTTCAAGGATGCTGACGCCCTCGAGATTAAAAAGAATGGTTTCCGTGATGTCTCGCAGTCTCTGTACGAACGTTGGGGTAATTGTATAGAGAGTTAAGGAGAATATTCTGAAGGCAAAAACCGAAATTCACCGAATAGTTTAGCAATACCCCGTGCAGTCTTGGAACTTTCTTATCGGATCTCCTGCGTGTCCGGGAAGAGAGAAATTTCGTCGAAATTTTTCAAACTCTTTGACTAAGTTAAAGTGTTTATTTTAGATTTGAAGAATAATGTCTTAGGTCAATCTAAAAACGAGAGTTTCACAATTAAAATGACACCATATCGAAGCTTTTGTCTCAAATGGAAAATAAGTTATTGCAAAAATAGTCCATAACCATTCTGCTGTTTGGGGTCTAAAATGATGTATTGGGTCGATCGGAAAGTTCTGGCCGTTTCAAGAAAATTCCATGAAACCGAGTTTTTTTAAAAAAAGCAAAAACGTTCGTTCAATGTAGTAATCGCCATCAGAGTCAATCACCTTCTCCCAACGATCCATCCACGATACACGATTTTGTCCATTTTATATCATTTTACGCAAACCATTGTCAAGAAAATGTCAACATGTTTTCAGAAATATCACAACAGTGAAACGTAAACGGTGATATAAAAATGAGGTAAATTTTACGTAAAATTGACATTCCCGTTTGCATTCCAAACAGGATGTTAACATTCATCTTACGTAAGATTCATGATAATTTTCCCTTGGCATTCATGCGTATTTAAAGAGTCAATCAGTACCATTGTAGAGAATTTATATAGTGAATCTCCTATTCCTTCACGTTCATCAGAATTTTTGGGTGGTTGGACGAGTACACGAGTACTCATCCTCGCCAGCACTCAAGAGTACCAAATTGACATACTGTTTCCTCCTCCCGTACCAGAACCTCGGGAGGAGGAGTAGATGTTCAAAGGAGCTCTCTTCCTTTTAGGATAGAGAAGATGTTGTACTTGTGGGGCTGGGATTCGACTCTTCCTTAATCCCGTGCACTGTTGTAATAAAAAGATTAACTTCAGCATTTAATGATTCCCTGAGTCATATATTATTTAAAAAATAATAATAATTTCATGTTTTCCATATAAGTATTCATGGATTGCATAATAAAAGTAGAAGGATGGTAAGAAAACCTGATTCTATCAATATATAAGGAAAACCAGTACTTAATAGTAATTGTTGGATGCAGGGAACAAGGGTTCCATCTAGGGAGGAATCTTGGTACTGCAACTGCAGGATGGTCAGTTAAAGTTTAATATGGATGGTGTGGTGTTAATTTTTCATAAAATTGATATCATGTACTTCACGTCAGATGGAGTGACGTCTAGTTGATATAAAATACGAGTACAATTTGGTGAAGTAAATTTAGGAACGTAAGTTTTACGTAAACGTGATGTCATTTTCATGGGAATCGCAAAAAGAAATTTGAATTGTTTGCAAAAAATTGATATCTTGTTTACGTGAACATGCTGCTTGGGCATCTTCGCCAGAAAATATTCAACGATGACGCAGAGGTTGAAAACTGGCTGACTGATTTTTTCCACTCACATCCACCTCAGATCTACAGGGATGAAATCAGCCCAAGCAGCATGTTCACGTAAACAAGATATCAATTTGTTTGCAATTCCCATGAAAATGACACCACGTTTACATAAAATTCACGTCACCAAAGTGTCCGTAGTACCAAGATTACTCACTAGATGGAACCAATGTTCCCTGCATCCTACAATTACTATTAAGTACTGGTTTTCCAGATATAGTATCAGGTTTTCCTACCATCCTTCTACTTAGCTTATGCAGCCAATCGCAGTAGTAGGCGGCGGTGATGCTGGTATCGGGTGGAAGCAGCTTGAAGTCTATCACGCCTTGCACGTCCGCATCAAAACGCGTTCCAATTTGAGCACTTCTCTTCTGTGACATGGAGCTGAACCTCTATTCATTGTTCTACCATTAGAATGCTTCAAGCGAGACTCATGACTGAAGGGGACTGACTTCACAACCTTCCTTCTTTTCAAGGAAAGTCTTTAGAGAAAGGTTGCGAAGTCTAATCGGATGGTAGATCTTGTACTTGAGACAAAAGAAAACTCCCACAGGGTGCCTATCAAGTGCGCCCTACGACGCCATTTCCGCCTTCTTCCTTTTCAATACAGACGAGAGAAACAGGCTGCTCAGTCAATATTCTTTTAATGTAGCCTCTCCTTCATCGATGATGTGACTTTTTTAAAGAAACCTAATGAAGTCTTACAGGAAAGTTGCATGTGCCTTATGGTATAAATACGCCAAAGTTATTGGTCAACATTTAACTAGAAAAAATGCCTAATGATTCGCTTAAGATCATACGTTGATTCACAAATTCATTTGTATTTCCTTGGAGTGAAAATGTAGTGTAGCATAACAAATATTTCTTCCGAAAGGGAGACAACTTCATCATATGAGGAGGGTAAAAAAAAAGGCAAAGTTTGAACTTTTGATGAGACACTTAATCTCACAAAAGGGTATTGTCATGCAATCTATTAATAAGTTATACTGTTGGGCAGGGTTATGTGTCAGTTCTCTTCTGATTAGCATTGTGATTGAGAGATTGGCTGGTAATATAGCAACTGAAGATATTAAGCATCTGCAGTATTCCCCGAGTGAGACAATGGAACAAAGATTGCTTGGAAGTGGATGAAAATAAATTCACTAACTGGTTTATTTTACTGGAGGGCAAATAACCCCGCAAAATCTGTTCATTTTGGGCGTTCGACAATTTAAATACAAGTTGATTAATTTACCATGAAAGTGAATTTTCGACACTCCCAGCATTTTATTTGGTGAAACTCGATGGAGTTTGAGAATAGGCAATACTGACCACAATTGCTTCTAATTATGAGACCTAATTCGAGGACCATGAACGTACAGGTACGCCCATACTCCCGAAGGGTTGAAGAAAAACGCGGTCCTCACAGGGGAAATTTTCTAATATAAACATGCGATCGGGACTGACTGACTGACTGACGCTAATTCTAAAAATGTTCTAGAAAGGTTAGAAATCTGAAACTTGGTTCCAATGTACCTTTTTGGATGAGGAGTTCAGAAAAAATCCGAATTCGGAGGTACATGCCCTGGGGGTACACATTTTTGGGGGAGAAGTTTTTAAACATATATTTTGTGACGGATGAGAATGGCATCGAGAGGTATAATTAGATGTTCTGGTTTCGGTGGTACAGTGGTGGCACACCTGACAGGCATTCGGGAGGCCTAGGTTCAATTCCCAGCTATTCACTGGATTTATTTGGCTTCTCTTGCCTTCCATGTTCAGTTTTTCATTGTCCTATAATAATATTTTTGCTTGAATAAAACGGAGATACATGGAAAGCTGAAACCTGGCATAGACATGCCTACCGAGATGATGAGTTCAGGAAAAGTATAAACTTTTAGGACCCTGCTCTGGTGGCATATTTTTGGAGGTCGACGTTTTCAAGTATTTTTTTTGTCCTGGTATATTGAGCTAGTGTGGAAAGATGAAACTTGGCACAGAACTACCTATTGGGATGCTGCATGTAGAATAATTCAGGGTTTGGAAGTAGATGCCCTGGGGGCACAAATTTCAAAGGGAGATGTTTTCATATTTTTTTGCATCAATTAAACTGATGAACATGGAAAGCTGGAACTTTTCATGAATGTGACTACTGAGACAATAAGTTAAAGAATAATGTTGAGTCTCGATACATCCCCTGGGGGAATATTTTCGAGGGGCGATGTTTAGAAAATATTTTGTCATGGCGAATTGGACCGAAATGGAAAGGTGAAACTTGGCACACGTATAAGTGACATGATATTATTGAGTTGAAAAGGTTATTCAACTCTCATGGTGACGGTTTTCCAACCAAAAGTCCATCCAACCTTTTTTGGACTTTTCCAAACATAGTTTTTCACCAGCGAAATGGCAAACGTATAAAGTTGAAACTTTGTGGGTATGTAGTTCACTGAGGATTGATTTCGGAAAAAATGGTTGTCTTCGGTTAAAACGCCTGAGGGCACATATTTTGCAGAAGGCGTATTTTCCAGAATTTTCTGATCCAGCAAAAAAGAGAGCGCTCAAAAGTTTAAACTTGGCAGAGAAGTACCTGAGGGATAGCTGAGTAAATGAAAAAAACCTACTTTTATTATATATATATAGATGATCGTGAGTAACGGATTGACTGACATAAGTAGCTATGCGTATTCTGAGTTCAGAAAAAATTCTACTTTGGAGATACATGCCATATGGGCACACCTTTTAAGGGAACATATTTTCAAATAGTTTTCTTTGCGTCATTCAAATGGAGACGCATGGAAAGCTAAAACGTGGCAAGAACGTGACTGCTGACGCACTGAGCTCATATGTAAAATGTCAAATTTCCAAAATATTTAAATTTTTTTGGGGTGGGGGGGCATATTTCTTGGGGACGTAACATTTTCAAAGAATTTTTCATATCCCAGCGAATCGAGCAGATATACAAAAGTAACAGTTGGCGCAGGCATAACTGACGTGAAGTTGATTTAAGGAAAATTTCAACTTTGTGTTGAATTTTTCAGAGCACAACTTTTGGTGGGTCACTTTTCCAAATAATTATTTTTCCGCCGACAAAAAAAGGAAACGTAAAAGGCTGAAACTGGGTGGCATGGTGTTCCTTGAGTCTACATTTCATAAGAAATACAATTTTCGTAATAACCCATTAGAGCACTTTTTTTATTCCCATTTTCCTGATTTGTTTTTCACCCAATGAAACGAAGTCAGAAAATTCAAACTTCCCTCAGAAGTACCTGTTCGATTGCTTAGTACAAGAAAAATCCTACATTTGAAATATGTCCCCTTAGCGTAGACTATGAGACGGAAGTATTTCGAAATGTATTCCCCACCTTTACTAAAAGGGACACATGAAAAGATTTCAAGTTAGGCACCCGAAAATAATAGAAGAAATGATTTTGATCAAAATCAAGACTTTCGTCCTCATGTATCACGTATTTCAATGGGTACGTACTGTAAATGCGCGTTTTCTATTTCGCAAAAAATAAATGAATTAGTCACCAGCCAAGGTAATGGAGCGCCGAAGGCACGACCATAGCGAGTTTGTTTCCCCGAAGGGCAAACAAACTCTCTAGTACCCAATATTGCTCGATCATGCCAATTTCCATCAAAATTTTATTACACACAGACCACTCCCTATCCTCAAAAAATTCGTAGAGATATATTATAGAAAATTTAAACTGAATAATAATTGATATCATATATATATATATAGACGATCGTGACTGACTAACTGACGCTAATTGAAAAAGGGGAAATGTATGAGGCGGAAACTGGATAGCATGGAGTTCTCTGAATCTCCATTTCAGAAAAAAAAATTTTTCTCTAAAACCCATCAGGGCTCTTTTTCTTAAGTCCCATTTTCCTGAATTTTTTTTGATCCAAAGAAATAGAGACGGAAAATTTAAACTTCCCTCAGAAGTACCTGTTTAATAGCAGGGAACAGGAAAAATCCTACTTTTGAAATATGTCTCCTTAGAGTTGATTATTGGAGGGATGTATTTCAAATTGTATTCTCCATTCTTACAAAAAGGGACACAAGAAAAGATTTAAAGTTAGGCACACATAGAATCATAGAAGTAAAGAGTATTATAAAAATCAAGAGTTTCGACCCCATATGTCACGAACTTCATTGGGGACGTACTTTAAATACGTGTTTCCCATTTCGCAAAAAAATAAATGAATGAATCACTATCCAAGGTAATAGAGCGCCGAAGGAGCGACCACAGCGAGTTTGTTAGCCCGTAATATATATTTTATGCTACATCCCCGCAATTCATTCAATGGACGGTATAATGAAAGGGCTTTCAAATGTGACCTTTTTCTTCTGTAGCTTTCATAATTCATACCGTGAAGG